CATCAACAACAACAACATCAACATTGTCAACAATAACAACAGCAACAACAACAACAATATCAACAAAAGTAATATAACAAAAAACAGCATTATGAAGAAACTGCCATTGTTTAAGTCACAACAGTTTTATTCATAATGTACTTGAGCTATTTGGTTCAAAAATTTTTACATACGTACACACACACACACACACACACACTCACACACACACCACACAAACGCAACACACAAATAAATATGAACATACAAAAACAAACATACAAAACAACTTTATACAAAGCCCGGTTATAAAATTGTATATATTACTTTCATATACATATATTAAAAATAAATATTAAAAATAAATCATTTAATATTTATTATTTTTTGACTTTTTGAAATATTCCATTTATATTCGGTAAGCAGATATATCTGATAAACACAATTAATGTTTCAATAAGGCACCAAGAAAGATATATATATGCGTAAAAGCATTTAAAAATCTGGTGTATAAATACATATATTTTTTGGCCACATCATCATCAACATCAACAGCATCATCACAATCATCATCGTCATCATCACAATCATCACCACAACCACCACCATCATCACAAACATCATCATCGTCATCATCATCGTCGTCATCATCATCGTCATCAGGATGACCACGAAGCTCATGGCAGTCGCATTGATGAGTTGAACCACATCTTTTATACGCAATACAATAAGACGAACAATGGAGGAATACCGCCTTTTGTTTTGAGTGTTTTTATAAAAAAAAAAATTTGTTTTTTTTTCACTATTCGTTCTGTTGTTGTTTGTTTGTTTGTTTTGATTGTTTGTTATTAACAACAACAACAACAACAAAAGCAAATATTTTTTACGTATTTATAAATTATTGATATGTGTGTGTGTATGTTTTTATTTATTTATTATCCACTAATAAACAATGAAACCGACATACCTGATATTTCAATGGAGAAATTGTGAATATGTGTGTCTGTGTGTGTGTTTGTGTGTGTGTTTGTGTGTGTGTTTGTGTGTGTGTGTGTGTTTGTGTGTGTGTGTCCATTTGCATAGTTGTATGTGTGTGTATGTGGTGTGTGTGTGTATTTGTATGACTGCTTATGTTCGTTTGTTTAAACCTGAATTTTTATAAATAATTTCGAATATGTGCGTCTGTGTTGGTTTTTATGTTTATTTATTTATTCGTTAATTTATTTATTTAACAGTTCATTTGATCACCGATTCAATTATACATTCATTCACCCATACGTTAATTCATTTATTCAGCCATTCACTCGTTGATTCATTCATTCATTCATTTATTCATTCAGCCTGTCATTCATTCATTCAGCATGTCATTCATTCATTCAGCCTGACATTCGTTCATTCATCTATTTATTCATCTTTTTATTTGTTTCATTCAATAATTCATCATTTCATTTATATATATTCATTCATCTATACATTCATTCATTTGTGCATGCATTCATCAATTCATTTATAAAATTTTTTTAAAATATCTTTTCTTTCTTTCTTTATTTATTTTTTTGTTCATTCATTCATTCGTTCATTCGTTTGTTCGTTCATTCGTTTGTTCATTTATACTGACATTCATTCATTTATTCGTTTATTCTTTAATTCATCTATTCATTCATCTATTCACTCAGTCATTCATCTATTCAGTTGTACATTCATTCATTTTTCATCTATTCATTCATTCTCTCATTCATTCGAACATTCTATTCAGGAAGAAACACAATGGAAAAACGAACATAGTATATGGCACGTGTCTGTTGTGTTTGTGTGTGTGTGTTGGGTGTGTACGTGTGTTTATACATCTATGTATATGTTTACACACACACCACATACATTCATAGACACGTATACACATATATAAATAAACACGTTTTTGTATGTTTTTATTGTATTATTTTTGTATTGTATTACGCTCTGCATAAAGCATTCAAAATGTTTGAAATACTGTTGTATGACTAATCTGATGTTTTTGTTTGTTTTTCTGTTTGTTTGTACATTTGTTTGTACACTTATTTGTTCGTTTATTTATTTGTTGCTTGCATATATTTTGCCATATATTCTGTAAAAAACTCACACACATACGCACGCACATGAAAGCAAACAAAGATACATTAACGAAAGAATGGATGAGTTTCAATAAGACATTTTACAAACAAACACACGTACAAACAAACACACACACATACGCGTGCAAACACACACACACACATATACATACACACACACACGTGCAAACACAAATGAAAAAGATGAATACAAATCAATGCTTTTTCCGTACACGCGTGTTGTATATATTATAGAAAAAAGCACAATACATGTGTACATGTCCATACACATACACACATACTCTTAAACGTATTAATACGCATACGTGCACAATTGTATATTGTAAATTGCGTGTGTATCTATGATTATTTTGATACTTGCATTTTCTTTCGTTTCTCTCTCTCTTTATCTCTTTCTCTCTTTCTCTTTATTTCTCTCTCTCTCTTTTGTCATTTTTATAAAAAACATAATTATACATAAACTCTGATTCAATAGAATGAAAATCGAAGAGAAAGAGATGATATTCGCAAGATAGTGATAAAAATAGAGAGCAAATATATGAAACAAAGAAAAAAACAATAAAGAAAAAGGAGAGATGAGGATGGATAGATGGATGGAAAGAGAAAGAGAGAGAGAGAGAGAGAATAAGAAAAAAAAGATATGGTTAGTAATGCACCAAACCATCTGTTCATTCACTCACTCTTTTCATTCATTCACTGTTTCCATTTATTTGTTCTCTTCACATTCATCCATCCATCCATCCATCCATCCATCCATCCATCCATCCATTCTTTTCATTCATTCACTGTTTTTATTTATTTATTCTTTCAACTACCTATTCTATCTTTCTGTCTAGTATTTCTTTTTTATCTACTCGTTTTTTTTTCATTTATTTTCACTCACTCACTCCTTCACTCTCATTCATTCCTTCATTCATTTTCTCACGCACTACACTTCGTACAGACTGATGTTATCAAGTGTGGGTCTCAACGTACGTTTTGTATACAAATATACTGGGCGTCGAGATGGCTGAATGGTTAAGGCACCTGGTCCTGCTGTTGCAGTGACCGGCCTCGACTGCAGAGATAATCCCGCCTGTATACAAGTACAGTGTTTGTGTGATGTTGACACCTGATGAATAATTAAAAAAATTGTAGTTGAGACGATACCTATTAATACCTATTATAAGTATAAACATATGTACGCACACGCATATGCACAGTACACATGTATGTACGGCACATGTACGTACAACAAATGTATGTAAACATGGATGTGCGTACACACAGTACACACATGTTTATATGTATACAAAAGTTTTGCATACATACGTCAATGAAATAGACGTTTATCCCAAGACGTCTGCTACAATGACAACACGAATGTACTTAAAAACGGCTACACTGTTATATAAAGAGAGAGAGAGAGAGAGAGAGAGAGAGAGAGAGAGAGAGAGAGAGAAAGAGAGCGAGACACACCTTCACAGACACACACGCAAACACGCACACACACTAACAGGCGCACACGCAAACACACTCACAGACACACACGCAAACATAAGCACACGCGCAAACAAAAGCATAGAAAACAAGATAAATGCGTATAACAATGCGCCCATTGTCCGCAGGTAAATTTTATGATGCTGTTTTCCTATTGTCAAC